TGTGAAGCACAGGAGAACGAGCACCTTCCTGGTCCTCCATCAAGCCCATGGTGTAAGCAGGATCAGGCCTCCAGATATGGCTTGAAATGAGAGAGGTCCAGGACTCCCAATAAGTCATAACAGACCCCATAATAAAAGGAAATTTAATGCCATGCTCAATATTTTTAGGGGACCCTCAAGAGTCACTGGTGAGATGGAAAACTGTTGCCGGTGGTCGACAGACAAAGATTTAATGGGGGACCCAAAAAAGACATTCAGCTCGGTGGTGGGTGTAGGTCAGCCTTTGTCAGAGATTTAACAGAAATTAAATTATGGGAAGAAATCTCTTGTGTCACATCCGTTGGGGCAGGTGGCCTACGGGAGTCCCCAGAGTACCATGATGGAACATGATGGACACGGTTTTGGATGCGTCTTGAGCTTAAGGTCATGTGTCAGTTGCGTCTTTTATTTGGCCTGTGGCATTAGTTGTGTCAGGATGGGAGCCCCACATCCATTGGCCTGGCATCCGAGACACTGTATCAGTGTTTAAATGTGTGGCTGTCCATTGTCTGTCCATATGTCCATATCTTGTGCTGCTCAGATATGATGGTCATATGTGCATTTAACACATGGGCTGTGCATCTGCGTTGCTGATATGTTGATTTAACGTTGGCATGTTAAGCTATTATCGTGGACAGTCACTCTATTCCTGAAGCGGCAATTAAATATAGAACTCTTCACTTCCCACTCCCTCGCTCCATCTCTCTCCCACACTCCACATCTCCGAGCCTCATCTCACTCCTACTCCCACTCTTTCTGTGTGTTTATATCTCCGCTTTCAACTTCATTCCGCGCTTTTGATCCGTTTCTCTTTATAGGTCCTTTCTATGAGGTTTGCTGTAGTCTAATTGTTCCGCAGTCTTCTTTCCTGTTTGTGTTGTGCTGTCCTTGAAGGGCGGCACAGTGGCTCAGTGGTCAGGCTTGTGGCCTCATGCTTCCACAGTTGTGGGCTTGATCCTTTGCCCCGTTCGTGTGTAAGTGTGTGTGAGTGTGCTTGCCCTGCTGTACTCTAACCCCCCCATCCTGGGTATTCCCCACCCTGTGCCCTGTCCTACGTGGCACAGGCTCCTGCCTCACTGAGATCTTGTACTGGACACGTGGCTATGCAAGATGGATGGATGTGTTGTCCTTGCTTTAGCCTCGACCTTCCCAACTTCTTTTTTCTTGTCTTTACTCCGCCCCTTTAACTCCCCCACAAATGCTATATGGCCGGTTTCCCACCTGTTTCCTCTTTTAGTACTTTTAGTATTGATTTGCGTACTTGGTTGACAGCTGGAGTAAACTGATGATTTTATCCTGAGGGTGGTGGATTTGACAATATGTCACCTGGGAAATCTGTGGCTGGTGTGAAATGCATGTAGATTCATACCCAGTAGACATAGACACACACGCACACACGCACACACACACAGATGTAATAATTACACAGACGCGCTCGCACACAGATGTAATACGAATATATTGCACTCTCTGATATGACTCATTGAGCTACGAAACAAGGCTTTGCAAATCCCCCTCTGAATTTGTGCAAATTAGTAAATATGCAGTCACTCTGCTGTTTGGAGATTCTCGCTGTCATATGGTTTTCTCTGTAATGATAAACCATGAGAGGGATGAAGAACCCAGGGCCCTAGTTTGCCATACTTTAGTGTTTTCAAATGTTCTTGGTACATGCATGTACATATGCTACACGCACAGGCCAAACAGATGTCACTCTGTGTTCATTCACACCGAGATGCCGCTGTATCATTTGAATCCATCCGAGTGCCTCATTCCATAGACACATTGAACACTGATGTGGATTATCACAGCTGAGAGCCACTCGGTAACACAAACGAAATGCGAATGGGGAATCTAGTGGGGGGTGTTGATTGAGCAGGAGCCATGGGGGGGGGGTCTCACACATATTTCCGCAATGCTGGTTAAGCTGCATGCTGGTGCACACAGAAATGCTCTCTGCAATGACGGCCAGCCCTTCTCCTCTCATGGCCGATGTTCTTCACTGCAGTAGGCGGCACCATGACCCAACCGTTTCCAGCTGCGGTAGCGGGTGCCGGAGTTACACAACGGCAAGTAGGAGCCCCGGAGCCCCTCCTGGGCATCGCCCCCGGACTCTGACCCCCCAGTCTCTCGTTTACCTGCTTTTCGGTTCTCTCTCCCTCCCCATCCCTTTCTGATTTTGCTCGCCTGTTGCCACGGCAGCAGTATCCGATGACGAGAGGCAGAGAGAGCAAATGTCATCTGAGTCATTGAACACACAGGCCAGCGCGTGCGTACACGTGTGTGCGTACGTGTAAGCGAATGGATGCTTTTATGTCCTGCCTGAGCACGGTCTGATGTCCCTGGTACGTGTGAAATATGCTACCAGACTCATTGCTAGTCTTAGTTACCAGCCATTAAATAATTACTCTTACTTAATGTGGCATAGAGCTCCTTCCTCTGGGTAAATGAGCTGCCGCTGTCTGGTTCTTCCGTAATTCCGTCGTGGAGTCGGTGCTTTTCTCGTAGATGTGTCGGCAGACTGCATCCCGCAATGTGCAGCAGGCTGAGATACAGTGCCTGTCAATGCAGATGCCCTCTCACATGCCTGGGCGCATACCGGGGCCCATGTGACTGCCGTGTCAATGCGCGGTAAACGCTGGCGCCAGACCGCCCACGACGCTCACGTTTCGGTGTCAGCCGCTAGCTGCCCAACGCCAAGCACAGGTCTGAAGAGGCTGGAGAGAGACAGAGAATCGGAATAGTAGAGATGGAGAGAGAAGGAGAGAGAGGGGGAGGACAGAAGGAATGAGCATGCCAGTTCTGCGAGAGTTCATCGCTGAGTCAATACGCTCTCCGCCTGGCTCTCTGTGATGTGGTTTTGAAGTTTATTGAGCGCTTGCAGCCGCGTCTTACGGAGGACTGGGGAGCTGCTCAGGCGGGATGCCGGCTCTCCCCATGTAGACTGGAGTCAGCCCCCTGGGGTCCCAGCCGATTTCCTCCAGACTACAGTCTCGCTCCGCACTCACGTTACAAAGCATTTCATTGTGGAAGACGTCTCCTTCACCAAACAATAGCTATTAATTGTAACATGGAGAATTCGTTCTTATAACAGTTGGCGGTACGGTGCTTTAATCCCCAACTATTCACGCTGTTCCAGCCTCAGACTTAATTATGTTGGTGATTCATATTTCTTTTATTATTACTGTTAGATTGACTTGTTACGCACAGAAACAAAGGGAGCTTCTCCAATCCGCTACACCTTGTTCCCTTTACATTCCCTTCAGTCTCCCTCAATCCGCTCTCCCCTCCTCAAGATTGCCGTCCTCTTCTCTAATTTTCTCCCTTTCCACGCTCCCCAGTTCGTCCCCCCCCCCCTTTCTCTGCCTGAGGGTGCAGACTTTATATGCTCCTCTCTAGCTCTCCATCTTTCTCTCTCTCTCTCTCGCTTTCTCTCTCTCCCTCCCTTCCCCCCCGCGATTCTCCCTGCCTCCCTTTCTGTTGATAATTAAGATCACAGATTTTACGGTTTTCTCTGTCATAATAGAGGCTCTGCAGACACCGCCAGCATGCCGCCAAGTCCCCGGCACCGCCAGAAACACGCTCGCGGCGCACACCCGCACACACACACCCGCACACACGCGCGTGCGCACACACACTTCATGTTTATTCATGCTGCTCCATATATTTCTCTGTGCCATCGGTACCAGCGCCAAGTGTGACTTACGGCTCCAAGTAAAATTTAAGTGTCGTAATAAGTGCTTATACAACACGATCCAGGCTGATCCAATTCAGGTCCAGGCAGGACTGGACTTCAACCCAGAGGAGTGAGTTTGGAGCAGAATAAGATGTAGGCATCATTAGCGACTCTCATGTTTTCCATATCACCTTTGGGATATCAATGGCTTCTCTCTCCACAGTCTATGTCGCGTCCACCATGCCAGCGAATACAGAAATTATTGACGTGTACTAATCACCACGCCCCCCGGGGCTGACAGTGAAATAGTGTGTGCTTCATCTGCCATTGATTGCGGTTTGAAATCCAGGCCAATTCCTGTGGCCATCCAGGGTCAATCTCCTTTCGGGTAATCAGCATGAGCGTGCCTCGCACGGATCGTGGTGGCGTCCCTCCCCCAGGCCCTCGTCAGATTACTTAGGGTTTTGACAGACTGCCCCGGCAAGTCTGCCGCTCGATAGCCCATCAAAACATGCTGTTGTATCTTCAGTAAAGGCAAATGCTGGTCGAAGAAGCGGATGGTAAGGGTTGGATATGCGGTTTGCTCTGTAATTCGCCATCCTTGAGGATCTGCTGTTTGGGTTTTTATTTTTCCAAATAAAAAATGGCACAGAAGATTTATTTATAACCCGGGTCCCCTTTACTATTAAAGTCATCCTGTCTTGTATAACAGTGTCCAGATATCTTTGCTCGACGACGGTTTCTAACAGGAACACAGCGACCCAGAATAATATCAGTCGCGGCAACACTCTCCCGCCCACTGACACGCTCAACCAGAAAGCCGACGAGTCAGTTAGAGAGAAGGACAAGGGTGGATAGTCATGGTGGGGGTTGGGGGGGGTTTGTTTATCCCATGGGTCAGATAAAGATGCTCGATCTTTCCCTCTGTGTGAAAGGTTGGAGGTGAAAAGTCTCGAGATGAGAGGTTGTTGCTTTTCAGGTCCTTTGTCTCGGTAGCGGCGGTGAAAGGTCACAGGGAGGCCGCCATGACTCAAAGACCTGCTACCCCATTGTGACTCATATGTATGCAAGGCTCCCTGACCACCTTGTCAGCGTGGCTCCTCACTGATCCTTCCCATGTAAAAGGGACAGGTCTTTTTTTTTTTTTAATTTTTAGTGTCCCTGTCTAAGAATGCTATTACCGGATGCATGTGCTCGTGTGATTGATATGTTAGCATGACTGTGTACAATATCACACTGTGGGGCTCCTGTGCAGTGGTGTTTCATGAGACCTCCCATCCACTAGGTGGCGGAACAGGCAGCCAGAAGACCATTCTCCATGAGGAGCAGTAGAAGATGCCGGCTCTGCCAGCGCTGCTGCTGTCGATTCACTTCGTCCTCCTGTTACTGACCATAGCCCCGCCCTCTTACAGCCAGGGCCTGGTGCTGTCCTCCGTCCGAATGGGTGAGCCACACCACTGCCCCACTCAGTGCCACACCTGCTCCAGCATGCACCTGACTGCCATTGACCCCGATTAACTGCTAAGGCGTCCGATCTCAACTTTCCGGCTGTGCTCTCTGGTCTTCTATACACCTGGGCCGGAATATTTATTGGTTATAACCAGCTAGGCCCTGCTCTGTGTACCAACCCCCCCACCCTCCAACCCCCAGCGGCAATCCTGGATGACCAGTCTGTGTGTGGGCGAGGAGAGCGCTTGGCCCTGGCTCTGGCCCGTGAAAACATCAACAGCGTGATGGAGGGCCCAGCCAGGGCTCGTGTGGAGGTGGACATTTTCGAGCTTCAGAGAGACTCTCAGTATGAGACCACAGACACTAGTGAGTGCTCCGCTCTTTGTGTGCTTGTGCGAGCATGTGTGTGTGTGTGTGTGTGGCACCATCCTGGTGCTGGTGAAGATTGCACTGTTATTGACACTTAAAATACACATGACGAAACAGGACCTATCGATGCGGTCGATCAAAATCAGTTAATCTGCATGAAGATGGTTTTTAGTTGCCATGAGGGGGGAGAACATTTTACTCAGTTTGATTTGGTTTGGAGTTTAATCCAGCTGTCTGGTTCCCCCCTCCAGTGTGTCAGATCCTACCAAAGGGTGTGGTCTCAGTCATCGGCCCTGCCTCTAGCCCCGCCTCCGGATCCACTGTCAGTCACATATGCGGGGAGAAGGAGGTGAGAACACCCCCACTTACCCTGTCTGCAGTGTGTGCAGTGTGGTGCTGCAGCTGTTGTCATAACGCCTTTTAGCTGCACATGTTGTTTTGTTTTTAATGTGTCTGTTATAACAAAATAATTACTTTATTATTATTATTATTATAACATTTTAAATACTGAAGCCTACTTTTGAATAGTCCATAGTATTAAACAAACCAGCACGTAAATAAAAATCTGGAAAAGACACTGTAGGTGCAGTTTAATTTCATCTGCCTTATTGATGGATTTCCAGTATAAAAACCGAGAGTTACTCACAGACAGCATTGATTTTCATTGTCCCTCTTATACTACAGTGTTTATGGTTACTTTATAAACTGAACATGGCCGTCTGCATGCTTTGCCTCAGTGACACTCAGGATGAATCTGTCAAGGTCAGCCCTTCGAAACAAACAGCTGAATGGTCCCTGAGGTTTACTTGCTAAAATTACAGAGACGTCTGGGTGATGCTGGAAGCTAGGTTATTGAGTGAGGGATTACCAGTGATCTGTTAGGGCTCACCTCCCTTCAGATTTGTTTTGTTATTCGTGTTCATTGCACGTTTCATTACCTCAGCTGTCATCTCTCATTTCCCTCATCAGTGGTTATTCCTTTGTGCTTTTACCTGCTTGTGCTCCATATATTTCCTGTCTCCCCCGCAGATTCCACATGTCAAAATTGGTCCGGAAGAGACACCGAGACTTCCATACCTGAGGTTCGCCTCGGTCAGCCTCTACCCCAGCAACGAGGACCTCAGCCTCGCCATTGGAGCCATTCTGAAGTCCTTCAGCTACCCATCAGCTAGCCTGCTCTGCGCCAAGGCCGAATGTAAGCTCATTTTTCTGTGTAAGGGAGTAGCTGGAAGATGGGGCCAGTGTGTTAGCATCAGCGCTAGTTGGCTCATTCAGTAGTTTTCTGCTCCAGTGGGCTGGTATGTACGAAGACCAGATTTAATTCACATGCATGACTCTCTGTGTGCATCTTTTATGGCTCATTCCTGCAAACACAGCAGCAGAGTGACGACTGCATATCACTGCTACATGCTGGCTCATTTAATTGGTTGACCAGGTTGAACGTGGATATCGCATCATGCTATTGGTCGTGCAGTGATGTTGAAATGTCATCCAGGACTGACTGACGTATTCTGATTGGCTGGAGGTTGCGAATCACACTGGAGTGGCGGTTCGAGGATCCTGTGGCTTCGCATCTCACTTGCTTGTTGGGAATGAAAGGGTTGCCATGGAGGCAGGACAGGTGTTTGCGCAATTATCCATTTAGAGACACTATTTAGGGAGACAGTGACGCTGAGAGAACAATGTATCGGGGTCATTTTTGATTCAGACCTCTGCAGACTGATGTTGGGATGCCTCTATTGATCCTCACATCCTGCCACTCATTAAAATTCAGGTAATAATGTATACAGAATTACACACCATAAACAAAGGATATTTAGTCTATTTTGTGCTAGAGCGGTGTTAAATACAAATGTGACTTTTTTATTGGCTCTTGATCTTACCGGTCAGAGAAAAACAAAACTGTTGTTTTGGGTTAATGAGGGATTAGTTTCATCATGATGTTTTTTAAAAAATAAATAAATAAATAAATAAAAACCTGACATAATGTGGCCAAAAGCTGTTGTTTTGCTAATAGCAATGAATAAGGTAGTTTTTGAAAATTAACGTCAGTGGGAAAACTCTGGTGATGCTTTATCTGACATAGCTGCTCCAAAAGAGCTGGTGGTACATCATGTTTCTGGAGATATAACACTTCACCCCTTTTTTGTTATTCACTGACCACGAAGCTCTGGTTTCATTATACCATTTTATTAGACGTGTTTGACTTGGGGAAAAAAAAGCATCATTCCCCTCTCACATCCCGCACCCAACGAAATCTAATTAAATGTTTTGGCAGGGTCCAGTGATTACCACTCTGCTTACAGGATCGTTTTCTGTGAAATGGGGAATTTCTTCCTTCTATTACAGCAGCCCCCAAGAGGGAGAACATTCTTATTTACATTTTTTAGTTCATTTTGTTGTGTTATGTCACACAGCACTTAAGGAAGCAAAGCAGTAAATTACAGCAAGTTAATTAAAACGTGGGATGCATGAACCCGACCCCCTACGTCTGCTTCGGCCCCAGGTCTCTTGCGATTGGAGGAGTTGGTGCGGCGATTTCTTATCTCCAGGGAGACGTTGTCCATCAGGATGCTGGATGACAACCTGGACCCCACCCCTCTGCTGAAAGAGATTCGTGACGACAAAGTGGCGACCATCATTATTGACGCCAATGCCTCTATCTCTTATCTCATCCTTAAAAAGGTCGGACTTGCTCACAGCTTCTGATCTACTTTTACTAATGAAGTAACATTCATTGAGAATGATGACTGGATCTGCATTAAAATGCAAAGTGTATGAATTTCACACGCTAAGCTTTCTACTATTACCAGTGGTGACATTGGACTAATTGATATGACAGGAATGTGTGCTTTTGAAGCAATTTGTTTTACCACGATTGCTCAGCATTCATGGAAATGGAAAACCGAGACTCACATCAAAATATTTTGTCATTACTAGCAACATGCAAATGTAACTAAAAAAAAATCTAAATGCTGGACAGGGACTATCAAAGTATTGAAGCAATTATGAAGGTGTAACCCAAACGTAGTGGCAAGGCACTCCAAAAGATGGGAAAATTGATGTTATTGCAAGTGTTTTGCTGCTCGGGCCAGAAGTTAGCTCATGGCAATAAAGGGGATAATGAAACGACATTCTGAATCTCCTCTGTTGTTGTCTGGCCCTCAGGCATCAGAGTTGGGCATGACATCGGCGTTTTACAAGTACATCCTTACCACCATGGTAAGAGTCCCTGCCGTCTTCTGTCCCATGTGTTTGGAAAGGCAAGAATTTCCCCAGAGAGTCTATACTTGTGTTCAAAAGGTGAAGAAAAAAGTAAACACAAAAACACAAAGGGAACTTCCAGGAAAGCAATGGAAACACTGCCTGATAATATTATCGTAATGAGATCTCTTGCCTGTTCTCGGGTACGTCTTAGGCTCCCTCTGTTTATCGTATTCCTTTGTTTTCTTCTTTTCCTCTTCTCATCTCTTGAACCCTACCTGCCTATGCTACACTACTCTTCCTGTACACTTCTGTTCTCCTCCTTTTATGTTTTTTTCTGTTGCTTCCTTAGAATTCCTTGCTTTCCTGTGTCATTCATCTATAGCTGTCTTACACCAGCAGTTTTGAGGGTGCTCCTTAGGGATTCCCCGGCCGTTTCATGTATTTGTTCCATCCCATCACTACACCATCTGATTCAGCTAATCAACTAATTGTCAAGCCCTTGATTAGTTCATTCAGGTCTGCTGACACTGGAACAGACCAAATACATGGAATGACTTTGAGTGGTTTGTGGAAAGAAAGAACACCCTTTTCTTTTTCTCTCTGAACTATGTTAGCATGTCTTACTGCATCCATTTATACTCTGATGAGATACGTCTACCTTCCACAGGACTTCCCCCTTCTCAGGTTAGATGACATTGTGGATGACAACTCAAACATCGTAGGCTTCTCGATGTTCAACACCAGCCACCCATTCTACCTGGAGTTCATTCGAAGCCTCAATCTGTCTTGGAGAGAGGGCTGTGAGCTCAGTCCCTACCCTGGGCCTGCGGTAGGTCTTGCACTTTGATTATCATAAGTTAATCACTGCACTCTCTACTTCCTCTATCAGCTATATGATCAATTCCTTGCTGTTTACCATATTTATTGTAACTGAGATAAACTTAAATTAATTATCTGTGTATCTGTCGTTGTCATCCTCAACAACAACAACAATTGTAATGGGATGGTGGAGTGGTGCAGTGGTTAGCACTGTTTGCTTCATACCTCTGGGGCCTGGGTTCGAGTCTCTGCCATGGCTCTATGTGTGTGGAGTTTGCACATTCTCCCTGTGTCGTCATGGGTTTCCTCCAGGTTCTCTGGTTCCCATCCCCCCCCCCCACAGTCCAAAAACACGTGGGAGCTATTGGAGTACCCAGTAGGTGTAAATGGGGAGTGTGCTCTGTGATGGGTTGACACCCTGTCCTGGGTTATTCCATGGCTGTAGCTTCAGTGATAAGTTCCAGGACCCTGCATAGGACAAGCAGGTACAGAAAATGGCTAATTTTATGTCATAATTTAAAAATATATTTTATAATTACATCCTGTTTGTAACAGTGGTATCATAAAACAATTTAACCTCACGGGACAATACAATACAATACAAACAGAAAAGAAATGAAAGTAAAATCTTCACAGGAAACATTCAGATGGAGCGCTCAGTCTGACACACCGTTTATGGAGTCACTCGCTTAGGCCACTGATCGCCTAACCCACAGGGCCGTGTTTCAGTCGCTGTCTCTACCCCTACCGGTGCCCACACAAACCTTCGCTATCCCTTCTCCGCAGCTGTCTTCAGCCTTGATGTTTGACGCTGTCCACGTGGTGGTGGGTGCAGTGCGGGAGCTAAACCGCAGCCAGGAGATCGGGGTGAAGCCCCTCAGCTGCACCTCGCCACAGATATGGCAGCACGGCACCAGCCTGATGAACTACCTGCGCATGGTCAGTGCCGGTCGGCTCCCTCTTGCTGTCAGTCAGTCACTCGGTTACCTCCGACCGGAAAACACTCGCCATTTTGACACGGGCCTCCGGGTGATTTGATTGCTTTGGGCTGCATTTCTATGACTGATATTATTGCATTTGAGGTCTCTCTGTGTCACTGCTCGCTTATACATGTGTTCTGTGTCAGCCCAGTGTGCTGCTGTCACCTACATGGTCATTGGTTGTGTCCCCAGTCATTTTGGTCATCACCTCACCTGTCAGCATTTCTCTCTCCCATTTTTCCTCTCTCCTCCATATCGGAATCCATTATCCTTTGGCTTTCTGCAGCAGTATGATCTGTTTATATCCTCAACCATTGTGACTGTAAGCTAATACTGATAATAGTTAGTTATAGTTTGTGGTTTGGGAACGTTTTGGTTTTCCTATAATGTACAGCAGCACTGGAGAAAGAGTAATTGATAAGTAGATAACTGTCTGTTGGGTCAATTATACTGAGCTTGGATATATCATCCATGTATGTACAACAGGAGCAACCAGAGTTTATTGCTACAGATACACTATATGGACAAAAGTATTGGGACACACCTCTTAATCATTGAATTCAGGTGTTTCATTCAAACCTTGCGAAATGCAGTCAGGTTTACAAACATTTGTGAAAAAATGGGTCATTCTGAATAACTCATTAAATCCAAGCGTAGTGCTGTCATAGGATGTCACCTTTGCAAGTCAGTTTGTGAAATTTCTTCTCTGCTAGATACTCCATAGTCAACTGTAAGTAATATTATTGCAATGTGGTATTATTGCCAAATGGAATTAATTAATTAATCATTAAGTGTTTAGGAACAACAGAAACTCCGCCATGAAGTGGCAAACCACATAAAGTAACAGCTGAGGTGCGTAGTATGAAGAAGTCGCCAATGCTCTGTTGACTCAGTAACTGCAGAGTTCCAAACTTCCTCTGGCATTAACCCCAGCGCAAAAACTCTGTGCTGGGAGTTTCATGAAATGGGCTTCCATGGCCAAGCAGCTGCATGCAAGCCTCACATCACCAAGCAACATGCCATGTGTCACATGGAGTGGTGTAAAGCACGCTGCCACATTACTCTGGAGCAGTGGAAACGTGTTCTGTTCTGAGTGATGAATCACGCTTTTCTATCTGGGATGAGTCTGGGTTTGGCGGATGACAGGAGAATGTTACCTGCCTGACTGCATTGTGCATATTGTAAAGTTTGGTGGAGGAGGGATAATGGTATGGGGTTGTTTTTCAGGGCTTGGACTAGGCCCCTTAGTTCCAGTTAAGGAACTCTTAATGCTTTAGCATGCCAAGACATTTTGGAGAATTCCAACTTTTCTGTTCTAGCCTGACTATGCCCCAGTGCACAAAGCAAGGTCCATAAAGATGTGGTTGGGTGAGTTTGGTGTGGAAGAACTTGACTGGTCCACACAGAGCCCTGACCTCAACCCCATTGAACACCTTTGGGATGAACTTGAACAGAGATTGTGAGCCAGGCCTTCACGTTCAACATCAGTGCATGATCACACAAATGCTTATCTGCATAAATGGGCAAAAATTCCCACAGACACACTCCAGAAGGGTGGCAGCTATTATAGCTGAAAAAGGGGGGGGGTCAACTTCATATAGATGCCTATAGATTTAGAATGGGATGTCATAAAAGGTCTTGAAGGTGTAATGGCCAGGTGTCCCAATACTTTTGCCCATATAGTGTATGTGGCCATATTTGATAATGGAGAGCATGCAATTTAGTTTGATTGTTAATGTTTTGGTTTTGTTTATTTATTTGACATAATTGTTTTTACAATATGCAAATAAGCACATTTTAGGTTTTGTTATTCAGGTTTTAGATTTTGTTATTCAGACTTTTCCTAATTGTGTTTGCGGTTATAAGAAATAATTTCGAAACAAATTCTGTTTCCATGAACCTAAAACCCAGGTTTGTACCGAACCGTGAGTTTTGTGGAACATTACCCCCCCCCCCCCTACTAAACATACACTGGATGTATACACTTTATCTAAATCCTGTCTTGGACATATGATCACATAGCCCGGGTCCCAGTCCTCACCCCTCCTCAGAGACGGGCCTAAATAATACCCGTGATGTTTTTCCCTTTGTGTTTAAATGAATTTCTTTAATACTTTAGATCTTTTGTGTTCCATCAGGGAGTGAATGTGAATCTCCCCCTCTCCAGGTGGAGTACGATGGCTTGACTGGGCGAGTAGAGTTCAACAGCAAAGGCCAAAGAACCAACTACACCCTCCGAATACTGGAGAAACACAGAGTTGGTCACAAAGAGGTTAGAAGTCCCTGCAGACCATTGTGTCACCTACATTATAATTCCGGGATTTTATTAATGTTGGAAAAATATTTGAAATCAAGTAGAAGTCCTGTTTTGGCCTGCTATCAGATATCATGTTTCTCAAATGCTATACATCTGTTTCTTCACCCATCTTCCTGTTTATTAGATCGGAATCTGGTACTCCAACAACACACTGGCTATGAACTCCACCACTCTGGACATCAACGTATCAGAAACTCTGGCTAACAAGACCCTCATTGTCACCACGATACTGGTAAAAGCTAATGGGCTCAAGAGGCTCCGTGTCCAGGTGCAGCTGCAGAATTTGTAGCCGTGTGCTCTCTCTGCCCCCATGTAGGAAAACCCTTACGTTATGCGCAAGGGCAACTACCAGGAGTTCCAGGGCAACGACCAGTATGAGGGCTTCTGTGTTGACATGCTGAAGGAGCTGGCTGACATCCTGAAATTCTCTTTCCGGATCAAGTTGGTGGACGATGGCCTGTATGGAGCTCCGGAACCCAATGGCTCCTGGACGGGCATGGTGGGGGAGCTCATTAATAGGGTAATTACCCTGAGCAAATGTTCCCTTTTCTGCCAGCCCTGGGATCTGGGTTTGCTGTGGGCACACAACAGCCTCCTTAACAGGCTAATGAGCAACTCTTAGTAACTAATTACACTGTGGTATACTTCAATTACAGCAGTGCAGTCCCATTGTGGCACTAGCACGCTGCACGATTGTCCCGTTTTCTGCTGGTGCTCTGAGCTGATGAAACTGGGCAATTAGTTCCCCGTTAATCAATTGCACTTGTAAATAAGGATATGCGGGTTTTAGTGGTGCAGGTCTGCAGACCTCGTTCCATGACAGCCTTTCTCCATTCCTGTGCCATACCTTTTCCAGCCTTATTGGTGTCTAAGCCACTCCTCCTTTCCCTTCATCCAACAGAAAGCAGACTTGGCTGTTGCCGGCTTCACCATCACATCCGAGAGGGAGAAAGTCATTGACTTTTCCAAACCTTTCATGACGCTTGGAATCAGCATCTTATACAGGGTCCAGCTGGTGAGGGATGAAGGACAGGATAGGCGATAGAAGAGGAAAATGGGCATGAGCTTGGATGTTACGGCGTGAAAATTGCACACTTCTGTGTTTTTCAGAATTTGTTAACGTTAACTTATTGCAACCTTTTACATAACATTTCGCAATGTTATATGAAGATACAGTGTAAACCATTGCTCTCTAGTGGTTAACAGTGGAATTGCAGGGGAACCAATGCTATGCACTAATACGTTGATTTGATTGACCACCCAGGGCCGAAAGCCGGGTTACTTCTCTTTTCTGGACCCCTTTTCCCCAGCTGTATGGCTCTTCATGCTGCTGGCCTATTTGGCTGTCAGTTGTGTGCTCTTTCTAGCTGCCAGGTGAGACCCACATCCTGTAACACAACACCCATCCACATTTCTTATCCAGACACTCAACAATACTGTTAGTATCAACCCTTTAATTATGGTTTGGGTCAAACAGGCCCGCACACTCCTCAAAGCTGTCAATAATAATGCTATTTTTCTAGATTGGCCTATATAAAAAAGTGGTAATTGACCAAATTTGCTTAATACTAAAAACTTGATTTGCGGACTCTGGATAATTGCTGAAGGAATATGGTAAAATGGACTGCATTTATATAGCGCTTATATAGCTACAAGTACTCAAAGCGCTTTACAATACATGCCTCACATTCACCCATCCACACACCGGTGGAGAAGGCTGCCATGCAAGGCGCCAACCTGAACACCGGGAGCAATTTGGGGTTCAGTGTCTTGCTCAAGGACACTTTTGATGGGGTCAGGAGGAAGCAGGGCATATGAGATGCTGATGCATCTTCCATCATTCCTCTGCAAGATGGACAAAGAGAATCAGCAGAAACCCACAGACAGTCACCTGCTGGCAATTGTGCCAAACTATTCACTGGTGGGATTACAGTACTGATAAATCTCTGGATTTTTCCCTTGTCTTGTGGCCAAAACAATGACATTTACATGCATTTATTTAGCAGACTGTTTTGTCCAAAGTGACATACAGGTGAGACTCAGAGAGCAGGATTAACCAGCATCCCTGAAGCAGTTGGGGTTAAGGGCCTCGCTGAAGGGCACAATGGTTATATTATTACTCTGCTGGCCTCGGGATTTGAACCCACAATGTTCTGGACATAGGCACAGAGCCGTAACCTGCTGAGCCACACATTTCACCCCCCCTCCCCTCTGGTTTGTTCTTTTTGGGGCAGTATGACACAGTTGTACCTCCAGAGAAAGCACATTCTGAGGAATTCACAGATCTGCCCTGTCTCATTATGGGACTCTTGGTTATTTATACCCACTGTTTCTAGCATAGTCAGCTACCTCTTTCTGTAACTCGACTCCACGTCGGTAGGATGTGAAGAAGATGTCACATGTTATGTTCCTTGCAGTCCTTCATTCATACCCATGACCTCCATCCTGCAGTTCATCTCAGGTGCTCCTTCAATATAGATATTCTAGGTATTCTATATATATATATATATATTTATAGCACCCATAGCTAGATTTCACATCACATGCTTTGTAAATTTTCACGCTGCAGTTTGCAGGCTTGTCTGAGATGTACTTTCATAAGGCATAGCTTCCTCTCTGAAGAAAAGGGCTCTGTCCACTGTAAACACGTGGGCCAGGGTTGTCCATGAGAATCAGGCTTTTCAACCAGACGACCCACATATCTCTGAGTGCAGCCAGCTTGCCTCTTTAGCAGTGAGCAAATTTGGTATCATGGTTATCAAAACAAATCACCTTAGAGGTGATGTGATGTGAGTTCAGCACTCAAAACATTTCCCTTCTACTCTCTGTGTTCTGTTGACTAGCAGTTTCTTTTCCTCTTGATTTGCAATTTAGGGCAAATATCAACAAACCTTAAGTTACGTCTATTTCTCCTGAAGCATGACATCCCTACTAAATGGTCATGTCCAGTCTATTCTTGTCTATTTCTTGACATCCATCAATCCAACTTCTGGCCACTTATACTGGTCAGGGTCACTGGGAGTAGATTTTTTTGACATGTTCTGAAGTCTGTCGCCAAGTCTGCCTTGGTTTTGTTGCAGTAATTCTGAACCATTTTAGCGTTACTGGAAGACTTCCGTCTGTAAGTTTACACCATGCTTCTGTTGAAGATGGTTGTGCTGTCCCACTATTTTCATTTGACAAGGGCACCTCGATGGCAGATTTCTTTTCTAAACCAACAGAAAATACGGTCGGGATGAAGACCATCAGTGTCTTCTGTCTCTGAGCCGTTCTCTGTCTGTAAAACCTTCTCCTCCATGTCACTGTCACCGTTTAGACCCCAGAGTGACATTTCATTAGACTGTCAGTCTTCGGGAGCTTGTCTTGAGTGTGCTGAGGCGGCACAGAGGAAGTGGAAAGATTTTAAAATCTATATTCAGATATTTTATTTGAGGAAGTGAAATTAGAACTAATGACAATATCTTCATAGCTGCACAGAGGGGGGGGGAGCTGAACCCCCCAAATGGGCCATCCTGCCACCAAATGCATTCAAAATAATGAATGAATTTAATAACAACAAAGGCACGTAAAAGGCATATTATATTACATCTTTTCCACATACTGCATGTGGTCTGAACACCTGCAGAGATGCTAAGGACCTGAGTATTCAGTGACCAGCTTGATTCCACTGTTTATTGTTACTGAGAAACTAGTCAAAAATGGTTAAAAACAGGCCTTGATCAAATTGATCTGAAATGAGATAGAAATATATAAATAAATAAGATATAATGTAGTCTGCAATACATGAGCTGAGTAAATCACTTTCACGGCAGCCGTCTGCTAAGCAACCAGAGGTCTGACTCCAATGTGTTACTGACTCTCCACTTCAGGCTGAGTCCGTATGAGTGGTACAATCCCCACCCTTGTCTACGGGAGCGCCGGGACATGCTGGAGAACCAGTACACCCTGGGCAACAGCCTGTGGTTCCCCGTGGGGGGGTTCATGCAACAGGGCTCGGAGATCATGCCCCGCGCGCTCTCCACCCGCTGCGTCAGCGGCGTCTGGTGAGTGATCCGTGGGGCTGCCTGCCAGCGCCACTGCCGTTCGTCCTTCTCTTTTGGCTCCCTCTGCATCGCTGGCCCGCTGTACATTTTGTTGGCTTTGTTTTCCGCTTTCCCCGTGTGGTTCCTCCTCAGTCCCTCTATAAGTGTCTCGCACTGCAGCCTGCCCAGGGTGGAACCTCAGTGTAACTGCAACAATGCAGCTACCCCATGCCTGTCTCTGTCTGTGGTTGCAAATGTGGCTGGGATTATGTATCTTCCGGACTCTGTTTACCCTCCTGTATCCTACACTGTATGTTTCACACTCCATCATCAGGCCGCGCTGATCTCTCTGGGTTTTTGGACGCCATGCTTACGGCAGTCCATTCATGTGTGACATTTATATCCTCTTTCCCCCCCCTCTATCAGGTGGGCATTCACCCTAATCATCATCTCCTCCTATACGGCCAACCTGGCTGCCTTCCTCACGGTACAGAGGATGGAGGTGCCCATTGAGTCCCCTGATGACCTGGCAGACCAGACCAATATAGAGTACGGCACCATCCAGGGGGGGAGCACTATGACCTTCTTCATGGTATGATCCAGTTGTGACTTGTGTTTGTGTTATCGGGTCAAGTGCTTTGTTCCTCTTTTTCTGCACACTTATTGACACTGTTTTATGCTTTGGGTCACATGTTTGTGTTGGTATGCTGAGCTGCCACTTGCGCAATGGTGGAGGTTTCTACACGTGATCTCTTTGAGGTCACCCTCTCTCTCGTTGCTCTGTGCGTTTTTCTGTGTTTGTTTTTGTTAAGTGCCTGTGTTTTCTTGGGTAAGTGGTTTGGCATCTGTGTTTGTCATTGTGTGCGGATGACGGCAGAAGTGCCAGACTGTGTTAGCTATTATGCCTGTGCGGCTCACATATCGGCCTCTGTCTAAACCATGCCTCCATTCCCTGGGTACGATTCTGCCACTCGTGTACGCTCTGATTTTCGGACTCGCCAAACACGCTGGAATGGTCTCTCGTCCTCTTTGTTTTGGATCTGTGTTTCTTTTTCAGGTCATGCAGATTGGTGCTCGGTCTTGCTCATGATCCTGTTTTGCCTTCTATCCCTCACCATGACGAACTAGAACTCGCGGTACCAGACATACCAGCGCATGTGGAATTACATGCAGTCGAAGCAGCCCAGTGTGTTCGTAAAGAGTACCGAGGAGGGCATTGCCCGTGTGCTCAACTCCAAATACGCCTTTTTGCTGGAGAGCACCATGAACGAGTACCACCGGGGACTGAACTGCAACCTCACACAGATCGGCGGCCTGTTGGATACCAAGGGCTATGGCATCGGCATGCCGCTGGGTCAGTAGGGCACTTGGGCTAGTGGGGGCAGGGAAGGAGAATTATGTTGTGTGCTGAATCACAGTGATGTGGGTGACTTGCTCTACCTTCCTGTCTACCTGGTCCACCCTCATGGTTCACACGGACTCTGCCCTTAGGCTCTCCATTCAGGGATGAGATCACACTGGCTATTCTGCAGCTCCAGGAGAACAACCGGCTGGAGATCCTCAAGCGGCGCTGGTGGGAGGGAGGGCGCTGCCCCAAGGAGGAAGACCACCGTGCCAAAGGTCAGTGTCTGATCCAGGAAACCTTCTGTTGATAGGAATTTACACTGGGATAGTGTCCAGATAATGATACAGATGCGTTGCACAGTGCCAGGAAGTTCATAGTGAGTGAGGGTGATTCATGCGACCTCAGGTCATGTAGAGCACTTAATTAAGTATATGTGTTTGCATTTATGGGCATGTGCTGATACTATCATGTATGTCCCGTGGAGCGTGTGAAAGGAAAAGTGTGTATGCGTCCATGCAAAGCTGAGTCTGTTTATTTATTTAGGTTTGACGGTGTATGAGTGCCTGTGTTCCTGTTGCAACTGTGTCCTCAGGTCTTGGGATGGAAAACATTGGCGGCATCTTCGTGGTGCTGATCTGTGGGCTGATAATTGCCGTATTTGTTGCCATCATGGAGTTTGTGTGGTCGACGCGGCGCTCAGCAGAGACAGACGAGGTACGCCCTCGCCCTCGGCCCGGCCAGACCCAGAGAACCGGCCCAGTAGGTCACCGCAGCGGTTTGCTGGATGTGTCTGTCTGTACTGCGTCGAGAGCATGCTGTCGTTACGAGTGTATAATCACCACATCACCCATGAATACACTTCAATCTCTTTACTGTCTGCCTCCATAGTGTGGCTCCCTGAATCACTCACCATGCACCAGGTGCATATTTTCAAGCTCACATCTTCTGATGTCACCTGCCAGGCTGTACCTCAGTGGATGGTGTCCCCCAGAAAAACGGCCCCCAGGTCACAGAAAGGCTGACACTTGCTCGTTGATAGAGATGTACCAAGCTTCTGTCAGTGAGCAATGCTGTCAGAGCTGGATCCATAATCCTTCTTGTGCTGGGGGTGAGGGGGGGTCTGGGCTGGGTGATGTTGGAGATAAACGGAATGAAAAACCCGAAGAAGAAACTCATGAAAAAACAGATACAGTCAGAGCTGCAAAATGTGTGTCAGATGGCTATAATTACTAGCTTTTAAGTCTGATGATTCTTAAGTGCTTCTTTCTGTTTCTAAGGAAATGTTCATCTGGTCACAATGCTGTGTGATTTTATTTTTCGTAGGCAGTTCAGACAGTGTGAATTCATGTCTGTGTTTACGTGTATTTGGGTGACTATTCTGTATAAGGAACACATTGTACTGTCTGTATGTCCATTGTTTTCTTCTAATATTTATCCCATGGGGATGTCGTCTGTGTTGTGTTTTGTCTTGGGAGGGCTTTGTTTGGCTGTCTGTCTGGCACTGACCCCTCTCTGCGCCTGTGATATATTCCTGCCCTTTTGCTTGACCTTTCCTTTGACGTTTTTTTTTCTGACGTTGCCGTTGAGGCTCTGCTGTGTTCCTGCTCTTCCTGAACGTGACCTGTTTTCCTCCCTTTCTGCTTGCCCTGTATGCCCCCCCCCCCCACCCTCCAGATCTCTGTGTGCCAGGAGATGCTGACGGAATTTCGGAACGCCATCTCGTGTAAGAAGAGCTCCCGTTCACGGAGACGCCGGCCCCTGACCGGCCCAGGAGGCCCTCGCCACCCCACGCGCCTTTCACTGGGGGCTCCGCGGCCCCTCCGGTTGGTAAGGGAGATGCGCCTCAGCAATGGCAAGCTATACAGCGGCTCGGGGCCCCTGACGGGTGGTGCAGGGGGTGGGGGCGGCCCCTCGGACATGGGCCCGGGGCCACAGCGCCTGCTGGAGGACCCACTGGGAGCAAATACGACTCCCTCACCGGTGCCAGCGGCACCCCCACGTTCCTGCACGCACATCCGCATCTGTCAGGAGTGCCGGCGGATACAGAACCTGAGGGCCAGTTCCTCCCGGATCCCCCCATCCTCTGCCCCCCTACCCAGGCTCCCCCCACCACCCCCTCCTTCATCATCCAACACTGACAGCGAGGGCGGAGGGGGTCCCAGTCCACGCCGGCTGCATCACACCCCCCCTCCACGCCCATTACCCCCAACACAGACCAGCACCAGCGCAGACCTCCTGGGGGAGCAGGAATGAGGAGATCTACATGGTTTGGGGAAGGATCTCCATGTGCCATCTGGAGAGAGCCCAGACTCAGCTGAGGATCAAGCATCCAGTGAAAGACAGATGATTGGCCAGAGTGCGGCGAGGATGGAGAATGAGTCCCGGTCACCCCACACAAACCCAGGCTCTGCTGGGCACTACAGACCCTCTGCGTTTCGTCTTTATTGTTTGCAGTTGTTTATTTTTGCCATGAATGACCCTTGGCACATTTGATACATGTCCGTCACATATCCCCCCCCCGCCCCCCACTGCTGGAGTCGGGGGTGAAAATGCATGAAGGGTTAGATTTTGTAACGTGCTGAACACCCATACCCTGCAGCTCAGGGCTGGGTGCCATGGCAACAGCTCCCTTGCTGACTCTGTGGACCTGTGAGTTGCCCTGCTGACACTGGTTGTGCAAAATAGGACCACCCGGATCGCAGCATTGCCGAGCTCGCTGGGTGCCGGCTCCCCTTAAGTAAGAAGTGCCGTGAGCTGCACTTGAGCTTTTAGACTCCTGCCCTCTCCCACCTGTGCAGCTGCTGAGGCTTAGCTCCGCCCACAGAGCAGCAGACTCCGCCCACAACAGGAGCCTCCTCCTTAAACCCAAGGGACTTCAGTCAAGTGCTCAGACTTGAATATATGTGACATACGAAAAGAGAGGGAGGGAGGGACCCCTCAGCATTAGACTGGAAAATATTTTTTTGTCTTTTATTGATTATTTCTTTTTTTCTCTCTTGCTTTCTCTGGTCACTGTTAATCCGGCTCGGTTGGGAGGTAGCGGGAGTGTGTGGAGTCCATGGCAGTTGGTCCGTTGAACTCCACGAGACCTACACTGCCCGTACCACGGCCTGCGGCCCATGCCACTCCTGGAGCTGGCGGGATGAGCTGGGTCATTGTGGGGGTCTGGCTAAGAAGGATGGCTGGACGTGAGAGCAGCAGGACTGGAAGCTGGGGGCTGTGGGATGAGTTTAGCTTACTGTGTGCGTGTGTGTGCAGGTTTAGGACCACAGTATGAGCCTGGCCATTGCCTGATTCACCCTCAGAGTGCTGAAGCTGGGGTCTGGGTTTCCCCAAATGAAACATCCCTATTTCATTGCCACCAGAGGAATTGGGAAACTGTTATCCTGACTAATAAGAATTAATAAAATCTTAATTTTCCAATTAATTTTTCTGATTAAGGCAGAAATGCACAGAGGCGTTCTGTAGTATTTTGTACTATGTCACACTGACTGGGCAGAAATATTGAACTATGAGAGGGAGGATACTAAGTGCACAACCTGTGAGGTTATGGTGGTAAAAAAAACATGAAGCATTAATACAGGCCTGCCGCCGTGCTGTACGGAGCTCCATTTCAGGTTGCCACTCATGAAGCAGTACATGGGAGGTAAGACAATGGCGTCTGAGTGACAATTTCCTGACCCAACGTCTCCCCTAATTAGAGCACCCCCTCCGCCACCTGCATCATCGTCCTCCACCACTCTGCTCTGCTGGTGACTCGGTGTAGAGTCTTTCCTAGTCAGCAGACTCCCTCCTGACACTGTCACTCCCGGACACAGAGCCAAGCTGTGTGACATTCTCTCTTTCTGCATAGTGTCAAGCTGCCACGTTTCATGCTTACAGGACAAATAAGGGATAAATGTGAGCAGGAATTTGGGGGTCTTTGGGAATTCCATGGTCTGTCGGTGACTAATTCCCAGACTGTTTTGAGGATTGCAGCTGAAATCACGTCATTCGGAAGCTTGACATCCTTGATCAGCATTGTCAAGTGTAACATGCAGGGAAGTGGACAGACAGACGGAGATGGTGATTATTTCCATTAGTATGGAAAGCATCTGAAGTCAAATCTGTGTTAGACTTCCACTTATACACAATTTTGTCATGAACATTTGCTGTTGAGTTAGCTAGTGATGGGGAGATCTTCAGTGCGAAGCCAGCCAAACGAATTCAAAGAGATTCCATGCTGAATCGCGGGACAGCGCATGCACCGAGCCAAAAATGAAACGGGTGTATTCCTCCAACCCCTTTTTGCCCCCCTGTTAACAGATGTCCTGGCTAAAGGCTAAATAACGAACAATGAAGTCCTGAAAGACACATGTATGTGCAGTGAGGTAAATGCACACACAGAGGGTGGAGGCAGGTCACTGTCTCAGATCTGCTTTGAGGTTGTGGGGAGGGAGAGGAAAAGCCGCAGTTCACACTTTCCTCACCTGTGACTTACTGAGAAGTGAAGGGAGCAACACAGGTCACCACTGGTGGGAAAAACAACAACAAAAACAGAAATCATATATTTTTCATTTACATTTTTTTTCCTTCGTTATTTTTCATATTTCTATACTAGTGCTAAATGGATTAAAAGGACAATGACAAATATTATTATGATTATATTGTTGTAATAATTATTATTCCTATTGAGGCACAGGGGTCAGTGGGAGGGGACTGGGAGGTGTGGTGGGAAACCGGCTTTTGGGGTGGATGTTACATCCTCTTCATAGTGATCCCCTGATGTTAAACCTATAAACAAATGCGTTTCGAATAAAAAAGGGAAAAGTATTCTGACTCTCTGAGGCTCTGTGTATTTTACTATGGTAATCGTTTCTTTTACCCAGAGCTGTTTGTGGCTTTGCTTTCTCCAGCTGCTGGGTATTCCTTCCAGGTGAGTGAAGCACAATGTAGGAGACACCCTGTAAGCAATGCCAGTCCAACACAGGCAACACAATGGACAATTAGGAAGCAGGTTTTTGGACAGTGGGAGGAAATAAAAGTATCCAATAGAAAGGCAGACAAAAAGAACATTTGTCTATATTACACATCAGCGCCACGTATAATGGCTGTGTTCCGTGGTGCGTGTGGGGCAATATGCTTAAATTCTTTATTAATTCCCCATGCTGTAAAACATTGCTTGACCGTATAATTTCACACCTAAAACATGATGACAGGTCTTTTGCCGTTAGAAAATAATGCATTTGCTTAAAATAACACATTGACAAACACGGCAAATGTTTTTTATCCCTTAAATTATAAAAATAACTAAATTATTATTCTACCAAAGTTTTTAAAATGTTTTGAAGTATGTAGCTAAATACCGCTCACTATAGTTCGTATCCGGGACTACGGTGCCATCTCTGGATCGAACGCCCTCCTTGCAGTGTCTTTTTTTATGAAATCTGCCAAACTTTGTCGGTTCCCTTCCATACTGGAATCTTGAAGATGTTTTGATGTATGTTGTTAAATACCGCTCACTAGTTCCTACAGCTATTAAATGTAATTAAATTAACGGGGACATCTTATTTAAAATAAAACTAACAAAATACACCTAAATTGTTTTAGTCCTTAAATCTTATTGGTTTAAAAATTTATACTAATGTGTAATACAGCCGTTTAAGTTATGGCACTTTGTTTCGCTGACTAAACAATTGTAGTTAGATACTTTATCCAACCCCGCAGGGGGCGTCCGGGCCTATGCCACAGTCCTAGAGCTGTGGTGTTAAAGATCGACTTTTATTTAAATTAGAAATATATTATTTTATACTACTTACAAATAAGACAGATTCATAAATAGGGGTGATGTGCTTTCTGCCAGGATGGGGCTGCAGGCTGTGTGCTTCTCACACCCAGGACCAGCGGTTAAACGGCGTCCATTTTGTTTCATTGATGCTTCCTTCTCATGGGCTTATCGCTCATGACTCCAAAAGCTCTTGCGCCGACGCCCCGTTCCCCCACTGTGACCATTAGCTGACCGACACATCTAGACATGCAATACGCATAAATCCCCTCTAAAAACAGGATGGCTGTGTTTTTACCGATGTGAAATAGTGTATTTGGTTTAAAAACACCCCGTTAACAATACACAGCTACTGCTTTTACGATTTAAATCTGCCAGACCCTCTTTCCTCTCTAGCGAGAAAAGCTGGACGCTTCCGGTGACCCCATTAAAATTATGCCGTTAAAACTTTTATTATCCTCAAAACGCATTTAAACCAGTACATTACTAAATTCATGTATTTTATTCTTTTAAAGACTACTGAACCCGCTTTGGTGCCATATGCTTTTATCTTGTAGGCCGCAGGATAGTGCCATTTCTACCAGCTATAGGCCAGGGTGTGTGTGGGATATTATGCTTAAAATCTTTATTAATTATCATTGGCTATATGCTTTATACCACATCGTATACTTATTTTACACACATTTACTTATTTTATAAACACTTTAAATTTCAGAAAACTAGTTGCCTCAGCTGTTGTCAATAAATGATAGTGGTGTGTCGGGATTGTGACTCTACGCACAAGAGCAACATGGAGAGAGCGAGTCATTTTAACAAGGATTGGCCGCGTTATTCCTTGATTCTTCTTGTCGAAATGCTTAGGATGTTTTATTTTATCATTCACATTGGCAGAAAAGTGCTTCATTACTTAAAAAACCAAAAAAATTCTCAAATTTGTTCCTGATAGATTCTAAATTCTGGGGCCTGTTACCAAGAGTGCCCTGCTTCCGCTGTCTCACTGGCTTGTGAGCACCAGTGGCTCGGTCTGCTGCAGGAGGCTGTGTATTGGCGCTCCCAGCCAGAGGTACTGGAGGATCCCCTCGCCCTGGAACTGGCTACCCGGGGCGTGGACCTCCCCACGGAGGAGCGCCCGCCCGGACAGCAGTACCCGCTCGAGCGGGCACGCAAATGCCTACGCCGCCTGCGTGAGCGTTTCACGCAGCGGAGATACGAACGCGTTGCCTGCAGCCTGGGCGACGTGTTCGCGGCGGCTCCGCCTTCCACCGCAAGCGGAAAAAAGAAGCGGAGAAAGAACCGAGTGCAGCAGGAAGAGACCCCCACTCTCTTCTTGGGAGCCTGCTCACTCCTCCCCGCCTGGGACGATGCCACTGCTGCCCGCCTGGCTGGCTTCTACCCGGAGAAGCCGCCTCCGTTAGAGGCGTATCCATACCGGCCGGAGCACCTGCACGGAAAAGGGATCAGCGCCGTAAGAGACGCTATACCCCGGGTCTCTAAAGCCCTTAAAGGGGCAGCGCCTAGTTGCTCGGTGCCCCTCCTGACACCCGTGCCGGACCTGCCTGCTCCGGACCTGCCGGCCACGCCGCCTGCTGCTGCCGCCGATCTGCCCGCGGCACCGCCTGTCCTGCCTGACCCGCCTGTCCTGCCTGACTCACCTGTTCTGCCTGCAGTCCCTGCAGCTGCCACCGCTCTGCCTGCGGCACTGTCCGAGGTGGCCGCGGATGCGCCCTCTGCTGCCCGTGTGATGGCGGCGCCCCCTGCTGGCCGCGTGATGGCGGCGCCCGCCGCGGCGCCCCCTACTGGCCGCGTGATGGGGGTGCCCACCGAGGCGCCCCCTGCTGGCCAGGAGTTTGTGGTGCACGCTGCAGCTCCACCCGAGGTCCTGGCTTTGCCTCCGCCTGCAGCTGAGGACACCGTTCTCTGCCCGCTGAGGCGCCCCCTGCTGGCCAAGTGATGGCGGCGCCCGCCGAGGTGCCCCCTGCTGGCCACACGCCCGCGGCCCTGCCTGAGGCCGCCTCTCCTGTCTTGCCCGAGCCTCCACCCTCGGGGGCCTCCCTAACGACTTCCTCGCCCTTGCCCCGGCGAGGCCGACACCCCCCAGGACCCCGCCTTTCAGTGACCCGTAAGGGACGGGGACACAGGCGTTGGGCCTGGGTCCCGCCCGCCCTGCCCCCTGGCTCGCTCGTTCAGCCCCTGGCGGTGGCTCGGTGGCTGCCTGCGGGTCCTCTGGCTCGGGGTCGGCGGTCCCCGCCGGGTCCCCCCCTAGGTCCTCGGTTCCGGTCCTCGGTCCCGCCTCCGGGCCCCCCTGCTTCGGCTTGCCGTTGGACGGCGCCTTCCCTGGATCCGGCTGCGCCTCCGCCTGCCGCGGCTTCCCCCTCCTGCCTGCCTGCACCGGTGTTCCCTCCTGCTCCCTCCGTGTCCCCTCCGTCACTCCCTCGTCCTGTTCCCTTGGCCCCTGGGTGGTCCCCTCCTGTTCCCTCCTCCCACTCGCCTGCGGCCCTTCCGGCCGCTGCCCGTGGCCCGTCTGGGTTCCTTCGGGCTCCCCTTCTTCCTCCTCCCTTTCCCTTTGTCCCGCCTGTCTCTGCTCCTCGTCCCTCTGTTCCTCCTCCGTTCACTCCTGGCCGTCATTGTAGTGTCATGTACTGTTGGTGTGGTTCGTGGATATTCCTGCCTGTTCACCCTGATCGTCTGGAATAAACCCGTTACTCGTCCATCTGCCTGCTCTCGCCTGCTTCCACGGCTCGCTTGCCCCGCGCTACCTTACATTCAGCCTACTATACGCTTTATTATTCCTTAAAACGTAATTGTCAATGTAACCATTGTTTTAATACAAGCTTTAAATGACTAATTTAAATTTTAGCTAAGTTGTGGGGGAACGGGGGGCAGCTGGCCCTGTCAATCATCGGTGGGGTGGGGGCATGCAGCTGGACCTGTCAATCATCAGGGGGTGGCAGTTGGACCTGTCAATTATTGGTGATGACGTCATAGACGGAGCCCTCATTTAAGCTCCGCCCAAGATACCAACTAACCCCTCTTTTCAGTGCCAGACCACTGGTTTGCAGTATGCAAATGAGCTGATTGTGTAAATATATGTAGCTGAGAATGTGACAAAAGGGTGCAAATAAGCAACAGAACACAGCAGTCTGTTCTGCACAGCTAGTGTAGCGGAAGCTAAAACCATGGGTTCCTTTAAATCAGAGCTAGATAAGATTTTAACAACTCTGAGCTATTAGTTAAGTTCTCCCCAAACGAGCTTGATGGGCCGAATGGCCTCCTCTCGTTTGTAAATTTCTTATGTTCTTGTGCTTGTGCTGAACACCGATTAAAATGTTTGAAGAAACGTCTGATAAAGGATGAACAGTACTGCAAGGACTATGTGGCTTTCATGAAAGATATTTTAGTACAAGGCGACGCTGAAAGGGTTCCAGAGATGGAGTTAAACAATCAGCCGGCATGGTATATCCCTCATCATGGGGTTTACCACCCCCAGATGCCAGGCAAGATCCATGTTGTCTTCGACTGCTCTGCAAGATTTAAGAATACATCACTGAATGAACATCTGCTGACGGGACCAGATCTCACAAATACCCTTGTAGGGGTCTTGTGTCGTTTCCGGAAGGGGAGGGTGGCCATTATGTGTGATGTGGAGCGAATGTTTCACCAATTTTATGTCGCACCACGAGATCAGGACTAACTCAGATTCCTGTGGTGGGAGGAAGGCAACATGGAAGCACCACCATCAGTGTTTTGTATGAAGGTACACCTGTTTGGCGCTGCCTCATCCCATGGATGTTCAAATTTTGGCCTCAAGCACCTTTCTGCGCAGGGTGAAGACAAATTTAGTCAAGCTACAGTGAAGTTCATACAGCGTAATTTTTGTCGACGATGGTTTGACTAGTGTGGACTCTGAACATCTGTGTTCAAGACACTTGGGACTTCGCGGCACAGTTAGAAAGACTAACCCGACGGAACCATGCAATCCCAGTA